ATAAAGTATTTTTCTGAGGTCTGTCTTATCAGGTAAATTACTGTACACAGTGTATTCATTAATTTTCATTTTCATGTAGTAAAGGCTCTATGCCTTCATAAAGGACGTACTTTTCCTTTGTTTAAGGGTATTTGGGCAGTTTATTCTCTGTTGTATTCTCAAGCAAACAATACATACAAGTACAGTACAATATTTTCTGAGGAAACATGCATACTTATCCTTTTTTAACCCCATTTCCAATAACCCGGCATTTTTACAAACTCGGCCACCCTTTGGTCCACATTAGGCGCGAGTTTTTGAGGCTCTACTGTATTAATGACCTAAAACTATTATCAATTAAATCATAAATAATAACCAACAGCTATACTCTTCTCTTCCACGTAGAAACCAGTTCCTCAAATTTTCAACGAATATTTTTACCTCGCCACAGCTTATAATATGTTAAAATTTGTAATAACTTTTTAATGACAATAGTAATTAAAGTTTTAATTTACCTCCATTAAAAATGCATTTGAAATTATTCAATTTTTAAAAAATAGAATATTATCTTTATATCTTTAATTCACATTTTAATTAACTGTAACAGTCATTTCATAAATAGAGTAAAATTATTTATAATTTAATTGATAATATTTTTAGGTCATTAACTTTATTTAAAAGTTGTTATAATTTTTAAAACAATTAAAAAAAAGTTAGCTAAAGGTAGGATCCAATCTAGATAGTATGTGCGGCAAGAGCGTTTGCTGAGTCTTCAGCGAACTCGCCATTTCGCTGTGCTGCCATAGTGTAAAATTGACCAGTATATGAGCCGCACTTAAAATTTTAGAGCCCTTTTTCTTGGAATCTTCTGGCTAGTGCACTTTATAATTCTTCTGGGTATTAGATACCCTTGAGGTATACTACTAACCTGTGAAGTTTCATCCCGAACTGAATTTCCAAGATTGTAAGATCCCCTTGTAATTTGAGACCATATGGTTATCTCAGCTCATTCAATAGCAACTTCTGAGTGTCTCTCTTCATATTTAACAATTTTATATGCATTATATTTAAAATAATAATAACACTGTTATCACATATAAATCCAAACCTGATGCTACAACCAGAATCTTATATGGCTATTGAGTATGACTACCAGTATCGTTATATCTTCTAAATGAATTGGTCTGGAAGTGAAGGTTAGACTGAAGTCTGAGTAACATAGCTGGTACAGTAGACCCACCCTATAACATGGGTTCCTATAGTTTGGATTCCTATATGACGGCGAAAAAATTGCGACAGTATCCATACAAACATGGTAAAAAAAACTCCTATAATTCGGTAAAATGTCATTGGGCAGCCGAACTACTTTCTGCCGTCCAGTGCCACGCTACGGAGAGTTTAGGCAGGTAAATTGAGTTTACTATCGTCTGTACAGTATTATATATAAATTAGGTACTATATATATAATTATATATTAACTTAATTTATTGTAACTTTATTATAATTATATATATACTTCCCGCCGTCCAGCACCATGCTATGGAGAGTTTAGGCGAGTAAGTTGAGTTTACTATCGTCTGTACAGTATGTAAATTAGGTACCGTAAGTCTAATACAGCACTAATTTTATACATTTCTTGGGAAAGAAACATTTTTTATTCAACGGCCATAAAATTATTTATATTAATGATGTCTCCAAAGTTCAACGAAGTTTTCGCAGAAAAATAACTTATCAGAAATCGCGGCC